TTTTTTTACAAAAGCTAAAATGTAGAAAAATTAATTTCCCTGTTCTATAGAATCCTTCTGACATTTGATTTCTACTAAATTGTGTTACTTATATATGTAGAAAGCATTCTGGCTACTTTTGTTTTTATATAAAGTACCAGTTCTGTTATTCCAATATTTTAGAACAGTCTAATTTTAAAAATTTCTATTAAGAAAGTTATCTAGATTTGCAATGACAAATTATAATAATGTGGTATCCAATAAATAATCCAATGATAACCATGGCAATTTTCTTTTAAAATCTTTGCACAGACTATAACAAAAGTCAGCTAAAACTAAAAGTAAGGCACATAAAATGTTGGAAGACAGTCAACTCATCTCATATTCTTTCCAAATTCCTAAATTCTAGTCTTTGTCTGCAAGATAATTACAAAGCAAAAACAAAAAAACAAAACACCTAACAACAATTCTTTTTGTTTTACGTCATTTTGAAATCTGAACAGTGTAGGTATTCTTGGCTCTCAGAAACCATTACAGCTTTAATCAGTTCCCTTGTGCTTATTGTTCATTCTTGTGACGAGTATTTATAATGTTTTAATCCCAACAAGCTGAAATCTGATAAAAGTAGTGGCCCTAATATCCATATTACATAGTAGGTTTTCTTATAGTACAACTTAAGAAATCCTGTCTTTGGGAGTAGACTTCAAAAAGAAAAAAATACCACACTTTAGCTTTTTATCTCAGTAATGGCCTGTGTTAGGGGAGGAATGGACTTGGTAGTGCTACCTACTCTCGTTTTTGGCTTTTCTTATTGCTTCCATTGAGGATTTTCATCCCAGTCTGGTACATCACTTCTGCTTCCTGCATTTGCCGTCTTTTAGCAGCCTCTTCTTCAGCTAAAAACAAAATGTCAGATGCTTTTAAATGTATTTTAATTTTATACCAGTTATGTATCAAACATCAGTATATATTTTCTGTTGGGTAGTCATACAAACACAATATTTCACTATTTCCAAATCTGACTTTAAAGACACATGTTTTTTGTGTGTGGCCTTTATCTGACAAAAGAGGACTTAAAAAAAAAAAAAAACTCATTGAAATCACTTTCTTGTAAAGAAAGCAATTATCAACCTGTTTTTGGAAGGTGCTTTCCTGCCAGTAATTATAAAACTTTTTATATAATTCAAACTAAAATTCCAGGAGGGCCTTATGATTATATACCAAGGTGAGCTAAAACCAGGACAGAAGAAGAGTAAAAAACAATAGTCAGAAAAATACTGTTGTAGTCAAAGTACTCTTTAGCCTTACCTGAAAGGTTGCATCTTTACAAGGAGAAGATATCTGACTAATTACATAACAAAAAATAAAAAGGATTTTTATTAAACAGAGATCTTGATTTAACAAGTTCTCTGTACTTCCCAGTGTAGTGATATAACACTGGAAATCATAGCATTGGTATAGATGTCCCAAATTATTTTGCTACTATAGTGGAGCATTTTAGCAGAAATCTAGAACTCATCAAGAGACATTTGAATATTTTGTTAGGAATATTTATAGAAATAGAAGAGACTACTTCTTGTAATATAACAACAAAATTTGATGTATTAAACAGGAATACCTAAATCATACTGGCCCACATCTGAAGGTAGACTATATTTGGCGATATCTCTAAGGAATGCCTAAATATTCTATCAGAACCAGTACTTTGAAAATGTTACCTGGTAACAAAGGAGGTATGTTCAAGGTTTTCTGTTGTTCTTTGACAGAAAGTTTTACCTGAAAACACGGCTTGCCTTTAGAGGCAATACTGACATTAACGTTTCAGGCAGTTAAATATACTGTATCTACCAAATATTCCCTTAGCACAGCACATTCCACTCAAAGTTATTTTAAAAAGGTATTATTTTTCTTCTAAGTGCTATTAATTAACCTTCAACATAATGTTCTGTTTCCGTCATTGCCAAAAAATGTTTTACATTAATTAATTTAGCAGCCTGCCCGAGGGTTTACGGGACAACCTGTGCACACCAACGGAAAATCACCTCTAAATAAAACACGAGTGGGATACACCGCCCAAGTGACAGCCTGGAAGTAAGTACACCGCAAGCTTCCTACTCATAAGTCTAGTCTTTAGGACCATAACTATGTCATCAGCACTGACCACTTCTGATCAAGGTGGGAAAAGGATGGCTAGAAAAAAGCCTTAAAAATGTTATGCAAGACCTAGAGCAATGTGGACACGCCTCCTACTGAACAATACTTACTTTCACAAAAGCCCCACTTTTCATCTGCCTTGTAGTCATAGGTTGTAGCACACCATAATCTGCCATCTTCCCTCCCATCTGATGTACATTCATCGTATTCCTTATTCAGGAACAGGAAAGGGAAGTGGCAGGGCTCCCCATGTGCTGTGCCTTCGATGGCGGTCAAAGCTGAAAAGATAAGAAAGAACTCTAAACATGAAGAGCACCTCTGGTATTCATGGATTTAATACTGTGCATTCTAATGATTAGAATCTGAAGACAAAAATACATGATTTAAAATAAATGGGGAACATGAAAGGGTCAGCATCAATTTTCTGTAGGGACGATTTAAGGGTGGGTCAACTTAGTGGACATGGCTGATTGACTACCCAGCTCTGTATCTAGCTTAGAATCTCTGAAGGTCTTGAGAGATGATAACCTTGGAATGTTAAGAGTCTACTGCAAAACTGCCAGCTAACTAGTGAGCAAAAAACAAGGCAAATGCAACCAAATTCCACTGTTCAGCACAACTCTTTTTTCTATCTGAATGCTGTAATTCAATTTCTTTAGTAGTATAAAGTTATACAGGTAAAGTTAATCACTCATGTACACCTCTGTGATCTGACAGCATTTTATCAGAGTACTTATCATACGTGCTGAGGTTCTTTCTTTTCCATATTCTAGCTTCCACTAGACCCCGAGCTTGTTAAAAGTAAAGACCATATCTCTAATTTGTTCTTAAGCTCTGAGTATCTTCTCGGTGCTGGAAATTATGCCAGGTGCTGGAAACGAGGTGGAGCAGAGGCCTCTGCTATACACAACTTACCGCCTAGCAAGGAAGAGAGACATTAAACAAAAGTATGATCTATGTTATGAAAAGGAAAGCCTCCCCTGTCAGGAACTGAAGTTTATATTGAACTTCACGGATATGTAGGAGACGAGGGTGGATGAACTGCTTCAGAGTGGGGTGGGAGAAGTATTATAGACAGAGAGAACCTTGTGCACTGAGAATCAAATGAAAGACAGCATGGTACAGTAGAAAAATTACAACAAGTTCAGTATGTCAGAACATGCAGTGTGAGTGCCAAGGTGGATGAGAGAAGAGGCTAAAAGCTAAAGTGGCCTGAAGAAGCCAGAGTAGGAAGGCCTGACAAATCTAATTAAGGAGCCTGGACTTTATCCTGAGAACAATGGAAATTCACTTAAGAGTTTTAAACAGGAGTGACATGCTCATATTTGCATTTTTATTAAGAGAGTGGAAAATGGAATAGAGAGAAACAAGGCTGGATGCAAGGTGACCAGTTTAAAGGTTGTGACAGCAGTCTAATTGAGAGGTAATGGTAGCCTGAAGGGGACAATGGAATGAAAGAAGTGGATGTACTCAAGTGATCCAAGGAAGCAAAAACAGTATCACTTACTGACTAGGTAGATGAGAGGGGAGAGGAGTCATGGAACACTCCTAGGTATTAGGCTTCAGGGAGTGAGGAGATGGCTGTCTTCACTAAGAGAACACTAAAGGAGGAGGTTATTGGGTAGGGATGAAACGGATCAGGGGCAAGTTAAGTTTTGATCCTGCTACATTCAAAGTGACTACAAAAAACAAAAACAAGATGTCTTAAGACAACTGGAGGAAGTTCTCCAGTTCCCAGATATACTGGAGGCCAAGAGTATGCATAAGAATGCCAAATGAGAAGTACAGGAGAAGACCAGCGGGCCAGGGTTGAGCCTAGAAGCATACATGGTTAAGGGTGAGTACATGTCAACTTCCACTGGTTGATTTTACATGGAGAATTTAATTAGGCAGCAGAGCTTAGTGATTAAGAGTAGAGATTCTGGAGTTAGAATGCTTGATTCAAATTCTACTGCTTATTAGCCGTGCACTTTGAGCAAATTATTTAATTTCTTCATTTATCTGTAAAATTATTTGCAGATAACTGCCTTATCTACAAATAGAGATAATAGTCCTTGCTGCATAGAGTTATTCACAAAGATGAACTGAAATAATACATGTAAAGGACCCATCATGGTGCCTGCCACTTAAGGTAATAAGCATTCAAGAGATGGCAACTGCTATTATTATAGGCACGCCTGCTCTGAAAGGCTAGAAATGTGCTCTCCTTCTTTCCAGGGCAAAGAAGAGTACATATGAAGATACTAATTTGAAAACTATTTTCAGTGAGTTATAAAAGGCAAAATAAGGGGTGCCTGGGTGGCTCAGTGGGTTGAGCATCTGACTTCGGCTCAGGTCATGATCTCACGGTCTGTGAGTTTAAGCCCCGCGTCGGGCTCTGTGCTGACAGCTCGGAGCCTGGAGCCTGCTTACAATTCTGTGTCTCCCTCTCTCTCTGCCCCTCCCCTGCTCATGCTATGTCTCTCTCTGTCTCAAAAATAAAAACATTAAAAAATTCAAAATAAATTTCAAATGGTTTACCGGCAGGTAAATGTCATTCACTATCCTGGTAATTACTACCAGGGACAAATACTTTGACCTATCCATGTTTATAAGAAATGATCTTTAGTACAGCATATAAGCTGTGCTAAAGTGTCCTTTAGTAACAGCCCTATAGGGGTAACTTTAACTACAGAGTTTGAAAAAGGCACTCCTATGCACTGCTACTAGATTCAAATTTGCTTGAGAAAAATAGTATCTGTAAAACAGTAGTTTGTAAACTTGAATTTCAAATTAAATAATGTAATAGGTTAAAAGAATACTTAATTTTTGCTATGATAATAGAAAAAAAATAGCTTGTCCTAAGAATTCTCATTTGTCAAAGCTTTCTAAGGGGTGCAAATATATGAAAGAATTCTGTTTCATGTGATGAAACTATGCCCCAGCAAAGAAACTGGAAAGAACCCAAAGGTTTTTGGCAACAAAGGGTTTTAACCCAAGTGCTGAATCAGCACTAACTTAAGTAGAAAGAAACCCCAGGGTGCATGTACTTCACCAATTTAGTTAAAGTGAATCTCGGTCTAAATAATGTGTTTATTAGTAAGTAACTAGAAAGAAAATTTGTATCTCTCAGCTACATTCTCTAAGCCAAATCACAACAGGGAATTGCTACTACCTTTTAAACTGGTTGTAAAGTCTTCTAAAAGTTCCTGACCGGGACTTGCTAGTTCTAAGTCAATTATCTCAAGTAGATATTCTTACAATAGCATTATTATTCAGTTAATTTTCTTTCCATGAAGATATTCTGCAACAGTTTCAAAGCTATCATTTAAAAAACTGCCACAAAAACAATGGTAATCACTGCTCTGGTGCAATGAAGCAGACTGATTATGCAATTTAAGTTAATGATACCAGTAGTCAAACCTGACAAAATGAAAGGGGGAAAAATGTGTCCTTAAGTCAATTCTGCACCTTCCTGTGAAAAATCACATTTTTAGAGGATTCATATTTTGACTCTACAATGATGACACAGTACCACTATCTATTTAAACCCTGACAGTAAGATATTTATGATTTATGTTATATGAAAACTTATGATAATTAACAGACTGCTTTATATTTAAACTAGTAAGGATTTGCTCTTGCAAAGTCAGTAAAAATCATTCAAGATAGCTAGAAAAAGTTAAAAAAAAAAAAAAAAAAAAAAAAAAAAAAAAAAAAAAAAGACAATCCAAAACAACCCCAAGCCTGAAATCATTCAGCGCTGGCCAGAGTCTGGGTATATGGGAACCTTCATACTGCTGGCAGGAGTATAAATTAGTACAAGCTTTTCACGAGGGACCTTTAGAAATACCTATTAGCATTTAAACGGTCCATACCTTTGGATCCCATTTTTCCACCTCTAGGATGTTTACTTGTAAAAATGCTCCCAATAAGGATGCAAAGAGATATGTGTAAGAGAGTGTTTGTATATAAAGATATAAAACCAACAAGAACTCAAACGTCTATCAATAGGAGATTGGTTAAATCAGCGACAGTGTGGCCATTACACGAAAACCTGGGCAGCAATACAGATGGAAGGTCACTGGGGAGGAGTGTAGATGGAGCAGAGGATCAAAGTCTGGGTGTCAGGGCAATCTTGTATTTGAAGGTCAGGCAGATTCCAGGGAACCAGCAGCTAAGTGAAGAAACTATCTTCAGAGTATGAAAAAATATGTGAGGGGTCAGTAAAATGAGGACCAAGAACTGACCAAGTATCCAGCAATGAGAATGTGACTAGAGCACAGTGGATTGACAGTTCTTGAGGGGATTAGAGCATCCCTGGAGTCAGATGAGAGAATGGGAAGAGAGGAAGTGAATAAAGACAACTCTTCCAAAGAACAATGTTAGAAAGGGGAGTAGGGAAGGAGGGAGGTTGCTAGAAGGGGTTTTGGTTTTTAAAATATAAGCTATTACAGCATGTCTGAATGCTGATGGAAAGAACCCAAGAGAGAGGGAGCAATGGAAGTTCGGCTAGAATGATGCTATATGAACTGAATTAAATGTCCTGGGAATAGCAACACCCAATAGCTTTCCCTCATTTCTAATGGTAAAATCAAAATGAAACCCAAAAAAGTCAGCTTCTTGATCCATAAAGATAAAAGCAAAGAATTTAGTTTTGCAAATTTCTCATCTTAGGAGCTTTTACACTGCCAGTAAAGACTGATACTGTATCTGTAAGTTTAGATAAGTGCTCTATTAATAAGAAAACTACTTAATCATGCTGCTTGTTTGAAGCTATCTTGCACTTCCAAGCATACAACAGTAAGTAGAATTTTAGTCAAATATATTTGTAGTAGAAAATAGTTGAAATGCAATCACTTAATCTTAAAAAGCTATCAACCATATAGTGTTGAACCATATAGTGTTCACCAATTCTAGTAAACACCAAGATAAAAACTCAACCAACCAACAAACTGAGGGTTGATGGGGCGTGGGAGGGAGGGGAGGGTGGGTGATGGGTATTGAGGAGGGCACCTTTTGGGATGAGCACTGGGTGTTGTATGGAAACCAACTTGACAATAAATCTCATAATAAAAAAAAAAAAAAAAAAAAAAAACTCAACCAACCAACCAACCATCATCAAAAATCCCCAAATTACTAAAATCAAACCCAACGACAGATGATTCAAAGTAAACCCTACTTGAGATAGAGCAAATGGTATAGGGCAAATAAAGAGGTATTTACTGTGGAAATACGGTACAACAATCTCTTAGGGAAATTCCCAATGTTATATAATTTATTATAGAGATTGTTTTCA